CTCCACATACATTATTTTAAAATTCATTAGATAGTAGTGTTTCAGTTGTTAATTTTTAATGTTAGATAGATTTATGTCTGTCTTATATCTGATATATTTTTTATGTATGAAATCTTAACAGCTTTGCTAGGTTTATGGCATAATTAATCCTCTAAAGAATAAACATACACACAGCTGTTGCTAGCATGCAGTTACAGGTATTATTGTTGCAAGCAAAAATGTTGCTGCCTTTCAGCAAATGATATGATAGTCAGCTGGATTTTTTTCAGTCCATTTAACTACATTATTTATGAGTACTACATTTCAAGCAAAATATCTCTTATAACATGAAATTATCTGGTTGATTTTATTTCGTATTTAGTATTTTATGCATCCATGATCTTCCAGGTTCATTAAAAAAATTATGAAATAAGGTCAAAACTTAAAATGAGGTTTTTCTAGTTGTAGAGAAAATGTACCTCTCTGTCTGTGCATTTCTAATGCAGCAGTATTGATATAAATATCTATTTTGTAGTATTTTAGAAAAAAATCAGCAATTTTATGCATTCAGGCATAAGTGCAGTTTTAAATTGAGTACTGAGTGGTTAATTAAACTTTCTGTCCTTTTTCAAACACCTATGACAGGAAACCTCATTGCAGTGAGTACAGGGTTGCCACGCTACTGAGAAAACCGGAAAAAGTCAGGGAATTCGGAAATTGACCAAAAAATTCAGGGAAAAGTCAGGGAATTTAAGTGTTTTAGTCAAAATCTGGAAAAGTCAGGAAATTTTATACAGTGATCCCGCCAAAAAGGCAAGTTTTGCGCTGACGTCAGAAGAGATAACTTTTTTGGCAAATTGTGTATCACGTGAGTGTCATTCGGGCAGCTGGCATAGAGCCAATTTTCGCAGCTCCAATTTGATTGTCTTTTAGAAAGGCAAAGCAAGTTTCCCGCAACTTTTGGTTTCCAGTAACCTCGAGAATCGCATGTGCAGTGCATGAACTAAAGAAAGTACCTGTTCTCGTATAAAACAAAATGGGTTTAATCCTAGTATACGGTACCATGAAGGTTAGAATCAAAAAATATGTATTGTAAAGAAGGGAAACCTCTCTGCAACAGACGTGGCTCCGTTCCATCATAGAGGGAAACAGCTGTGCATGCGCGATATATCTGTCGCCAAAGCTCGAAACCGGTGTCGAAGTTTGAAGGTTACGTTATCAAGAGTTCATAAAATGAATATCATTTAAAATTTCTTTAAACTCTAAAGGAAAAGAAAATTTTTTTTTCGTGTAAGTAAATTAATTCATGGCTTAGTTATTTTGAGGGGGGGGAACTACGAAAATCCGTTTTTAAAATTATTGCGAAAAATCCAAGATAAAACGTTTCTTCTTATATTTTTCGCAATAATTTAAAAATGGATTTTCGTAGTTTTCTTTTTTGGCAAAGAACGTTTCTTCTTAACACGTGTTTCTCAATTTCCTGTACACATCGCAGAGAGGGAGATTCTGGCCGCCAGGTTCCATCGCCAATTTCCTTGGCAAATTTTCCCTCCGCTTTCTAGTGGCGTCATAGCATTTACGTGTATGGAACCTTTTCTTTACATAGACGTTCTTTGGTTAGAATAATCTCCATGTATGATACAGCGGGATTTGGCGACATGGTGATGAGCAGTAAACGGGTCATTTTGTTCTTGGCGACAATTTTCAAAATCATGCGAAGGCCGTACCGTATACTAGGATTTTACCACAAAATCTTTTTTTGTTTCTTTTCTTTTTAATAAATACCTTGTCATTTTGCAGTAAAATAAAAAAATTGTAATCAGTCATCTAGGCTAACTATATTTGCTAAAGTATCATTGATTATTCTAATTCAATTTTTAAGTAATTATCTTTATTTTTATGTTATTCATATCATTTAATGTTGCTTCTTCCCTCTAAATTTATTTATCAGTAGTAAATAATATTTCCAAATTTCAGGAAATTTTCTCTGGCATAATCCTGAAATTAATTCTAGCAGTATGATGACATCACGAAATTTAATGCACATATTTTTTCCTTATGTATGCTGCGAAATAAATATAAAATACCTCAATTTAGTAAAAAAATATCATTAAATAGGTTTCTTTCTTTCATTTAGCTGCAGAATGTCTGCAAAAAAAAAAAAAAAAAAAAAAAAGCCTTATTTTATTCCAGATTGGGCAGATTCTAATCTCAATCTTCAGTGGAGAAAACAACTCCTATTATAATTATATTTGTGTTTTCAAGTGTTAAGGTGCCTTTAAGAAGACACCTCACACAAATTAAATTTACCTAAAATCTAACCTAACTTTTAGCATTGCGTTGTGATTTATAAGAACCGGATTAGCCTCATGTTGAACTGGTGATGATCATGAGTAATAATTAAATAAAACGTACAATTGTTATCTAATGTATATATCTTAAATTAAGTTTCGTAAGTGGAAAAGTAAACAAAATTATCAAACAAAGTGTACCAAGAATAATTAAGAATAAATGTCCTCTGGGATTTATTGAATAATTAAGTGAATTTGCTACACAGTACAAGTAATACCATAATTAATTTACCTCTTAGCACAGCCAACGTACATTACGCGGATAGACTGGAATTTTATCGAAACATACCTGGAAAAGTCAGGGAATTTCATTCTCCTGTTTGAGTGGCAACCCTGCACTGATCTTTGCTGCACAATATGCATATGTGAGGACAGAAACTTGAACATTTTCGCTGAGACCTCTCACCTTTTTTGCCTCTTCACTTCCGATATCTGGTGTCAGCTAGTGTGTATTAATCTTTAAATATTTAGCATTTCATGAGATGTGTTTTCTTTTCTTTTCTTTTTTTTTTTTTTTTTTTTTCAAATGTTAAATAAAGTTGATTTTAACTGTTAGCTGAAGCCTTGTGATTCTTAGGCCTTTCTAATGATCTTTGGAGCCTGATGGTGATAAAACATTGCGATACACCCATACGCACACAAGTACCTTAGTGTCTCAAGTATGTTAAAACAAGAATTGTATCAAAAAAAGTATTCATTAGGTAACTATTTTGAATTTTTTTTTAAACTATCCACTTGTTTTGTCAGTAGTGGGGCTAACGTGTGCAACTGGCTAGGCAGAATGACGACAGATGTTGTAATTTTACTTAAACAAATTATTTGCAGACCACAAAAGTATATATTAATTACTTTCAATAGAATAATGGTTCCAGGAATATAAATTCAGGAGCTGGTTGTTCTGCCAGTGGCTGAGTGATTAAGTCCCCTAAATCCTAGCTGTTTGATCTGGGTTCGAAAACAGGTAAACAGGATAGCTATATGGATGGTTTTCCTCAAGTTTAACATGAATATGAGCCAATTTTCATAGGAAAGTGCTCCACGAAGGCATCTCTTACCGTAGGCACATAAATGTTTTGTGCTTTGCCATATTCAACTTAATCTAACTCGAAACCTGAGTAACACACAGTTGACTAAAAAAATCATATACTAATAATTCTTTATCCAAGATCAAACACATGAAGGGTATTTTTATTGCAGGTAATATACGTAAGTATAAATGTAAAATTATAATAGAAAAATTTTATTATAATGATATAAATAATAACAGAATTATTAGGAGTAAAAGAGTGATTATTCATCATTGAAAAATTATTTTTCAACTGCATAATTTGATTATCTAGCTGCTGGCAATTCCACACTCTAATTTTATAAAAATATTTAATATTTTTTAGACATCTCATGATTTAAGTGCATTTTTATTTAAATTAATCAGGTTAAAAAGTAGAAAAAATATTCTGAAGAACTGCATTTATTGCTTTTAAATCTCTTCACTTACTATTGAATATCAGATAGATTAAATTTGAAAGTTTAATAACCTTATGCTTTACTGAATGGTAACACACTAGCATGAGGAAGATAAAAGTGTTTTATTTCAGGCAGCAGTAACACATTGCTTTTAAATAACAAAGTCTGTTGATTAGAATTGAAAGATTCATTTTGATAAAAAGATCTTTTATTCTTTTGAATGGCAACAGCAATGTGCTAGGAGGATAAAAATGATTTATTTTGAACGGTATTGCCACTGCTCACTTTCAAATTGCTGAGTTTGTTAATCAAATATTCATTAAGTTCATGTAAAATAGGAAATAAATAAAAACAAATTTGATTTCGAGATGCATGTCTGACTATGAGTATTCAAAATTTAGTGGTGTGTACCATCGGTTTTCCACAATATGAGGAACATACGGACATATATACACAATTTTTTCATTATTTCGTATTAGAGATAATGCTTGAGACTAAAGAAAAAATTTATGAAATAAGCTTTTATCTAAAACTCATAAAATAATTAGTGGACCAAAAGAAGAAAAATAATTTATCATTTACTTTAATGGAAACAAGAGAATGAAAAATTCTCTGTAGAAAATTCTTCTACCAATAATAAAAGTATGAGTGCCTGAATAAAAAAAAAAAAGTCTAATTGCTTTGTCATTATCTTTATCATGGTTGCCATGCTTTTAGCATTCATAATATAACATTGTAGATGAATTTTGTAAAGAGAGCTATTTAATCTCTTGGTTCCCATTAAACTATAGGATAAATAATTTTTCTCCTTTTAGTTCATTAATTATTTTACGAGTTTTAAGTAAAAGCATATCTTATAAAAACTTTTTCCTGAATATTTTTACCTTATAATTTAACTGCTCATGTAGTTAAAAATTTTAACTGTTTGTTAAAAAAGGTGCTGCGTAGGTGCATCATAAATTTTTTATTTTTTGCCCATTCCATGCTTTATGTGCAAAATATCTGCATAACCGTTTTCTGTTTTTATAAAAATATTTTTTGTAATCATCCTTTTTTTTTATATATATCTTTCTGACATTCACTATAATATATTAACTTTTAGAAACCGAATGCTTGATTAGACTTGTAAAAACCGAATGCTTGATTTTATAACTTTGTTTGATATATATATATTTATTTAAATATACGTGAAATAAATCTTATTAGGCTTTAGGAAAAGAAGGTGCCTTTAAACCATTTGAAGTTTCTGGTCATATGATCCTTGCCCCTGTTGTTCCTCAAGCTGCTCAAGAACGTTTTGACAAAGACCGATTAGATCATTTTCTGCAGTTCCAGGTATGTCTTAATAGGAATTTTCATCTGTTAAACAATAATTAAAATTTTTTGTTCTGAAGCTTTTCATGTATATTTTATATTTACGAAGTGATTTTTCAGCTTGTTTAAATTAAAAGTTATAAAAATATATTTTACTCACTATTGAAATAAGAGATTTTTTCTGTAAGAATAATATTCAATACTGATATTTGTTTAGTAATTTAATTTTTTTTTAATTTTTTTTTCGCTGCTTGAAAAATAAATTTTCGCTCTGTATAAATAATACACTATTATTATTATTTTTTTAAATATATTCCAACATACCTTGATCTTGTAAAATGCTAAGTGAAATTTTATATTTAGGAACAATTTTTCAATGCAACAACAAAGATTTTAATATCCTAATTAAATATATGCAGTAATTAGTGATTTTTCTGAACAAATAATTTAATGTGATTTTAGTGAAAGTTATCAGTATTTCAACTCATATGGAGTTATTAAATGAATAAATACTAGGCCTTCTAGTACTACATCAGAATAGCAGATTGATCAATCTGCTGTACTACTAGAAGGCCTAGTATTTATTCATTTAATAAATCCCTATGACTGAGCGGAATAACAGATTGATTTGATTAACATCTGTTAAGGTAATTGTACTGGACGTGTTTATTTTTTCATGAATGTTAATTTAAGGGATCTTGAGCTTGTCACCAAAAATAAATTGTTAAATGCAAAAATAAAATTTATGTTAGATTATTTTTATTTTTTCCATGAGTTTATTTATTATAGTATTATGTTTTTGCTGATTTCGATGTATGTTTAGATCAAACTTTCACTCCCTTTAGCCTTTCACACTCTTTTTTTTTTTTTTTTTTTTTTTTTTTTTCTTTCTTTTTTTTTTTTTTTTTTTTTTTTTTTTTTTCCTGCTGTAAATCCAAACTTTGCTTATTTTTTTTTTTTTTTTTTGCTTAGTCATCAAGCAAAAATATGTGCACAAAAATTGTGCTTTGATCTTGATCTGATCTTTGCAAAATTTATTGATGAAGAAAACACTGGTCATTCAAAAGCACTGATCTTTGCAAAATTTAAATTTTCACTCCATAGATATCCATTGAATAAATTGGATAATGGTTTCTGATTAAAGTATGTTCAAAATTGGTGCAATAATTTACTTAATAATTCTCTGAAAACATTTGGTGACAGAATTTTGTCATGTTTTGAAAATCATTTTTTGAAATGAATTTATATTGAATTTATATCATAACTAATTTTGTACAGCCTACGTAGAGTTCAAAATGCTTAGTAAAAAATAGAAATATTCATTTATGTAAGACTTTTCCAATACGTTAAAGCAGTCAAAATCTGTTTTATATTTTTTTAGATCACACGTTCCCAACCTTATGCCCGCGGGTACCATGGCATCCGCCGATCATTTAATGTGGGCCCGCTACTGTGGAATCACAATAAAAATGTTTTCATTTTCAATAAAGTTCTATGTAAAAGTTTTCTCATTTTTAATGAAATAGAAATTGCATCCAACACAGATGCCAGCACAAAGCGAAATGCAACAGATCTCTTTTTTTATGTGCATCTCTATCCAATTCTACATTCTCCTTGAAAAAGCAAATGATTCCCGCCGTTCAAGAGGTATTCTAGAATGTGCTTTTAGGGGGGGGAGAGGTTGAGGCCCCATGTTTTAGATTTTTTTTTTTTTTTTTTTTTTTTTTTTTTTTTTTTTTTTTTTTTTTTTTTTACAATCATTTAATTTTTTGTTTTTTTAGTTCTTTACATGTACACAAATTCATCATTTAATTTTTTTTTTTAGTTCTAATGAGAAATTCATCATTTTTATTCTTCATGAGGCATTTTGTATGATTTTATATATTCTAGTTCTTAAGGCATTTACTATTTTTAATGTGTGTCTCTACATCTGCTGTATTTATTTTTATGAAATACAGGATGGCAAAGAATTATATCTTCAGATTCTGAAATCTGGGTCTTATCATGATGTAAAACGTAGGAAGAGAGAAAGGAAGTTAAAAACTTGTGAAGCTGATGTGATTCTTGATAAAAGTGAAGAAGCTAATCTCACTATGACTGCTAAATTGCTTCAGTTCTCGGAAAATGTTCGGCCCCCATATTGGGGAACATGGAGAAAGAAAAGCAAGAATGTCCGCGCACGTAATCCTTTTGGTGAAGATGTATGTTTGCTTACTTATTTTAAATTCATTTAAAGATTCAGATTTTCATGTTGTTTTTCATTTTAAGAGACTCAGCATTTTCCTTGTATAGGCAAACAAAAATGAAAGAACTTTTCATATGAAGTAAATTTAGTTTTAATGCTAGTAGATTTTTCACCTGTTTGAAAACGATATGCTGTAATGCATATAGTTTTTGTACTTTCTTAATGTGCTTTTGCTGTTAACTGCAGATGCAATTTTTAAGCTATATTAAAAAATTTGGTTACTTCTTTGTTAAAATTGGTACCATGCTTAGGTGTCAAAACTGAATTATTTAATATGGAATACCAAATATCAGATATCACCAAAGTATGTAATGATCATTTTAGCAATAAAATACTTTATTTTTTAATGTTTAAAATTTTTAATCCAAAGGGGGCAATTTGCCCAGAAGGAATATTAATTTCATTTTGGCATTTTGCGTTCATTCACTGTAAGTGTTGATTCACTTTTCAGATTGTTGCCAGCAAATATTAGAATCCTGTATTATATTTAAAGAAATTAAATAGTGAAAAATCTGTGTAAATGTATGTTTATTTCTCACATTGTGATAAAACAACGACTACCTAGAGCCATTAGATTTTGAATAACATATGTTTTCATCCAAATATGGGGATCTGGAAGCCCAAATATGAAATTTGTTTTATTATTTCTTTCATATTTTGTAAAACTTTAACAAATTTTTTATTAACAAACTCAACTATTTTAAAGCAAGCAATGGCAACACTGTATGGAAAAAAAGAAAATTTCATCTCCAGTGCTGTGTATCGGAAAATCTAAATATATGCTCGTTTTGAAAGTGTTTTGCGATATTGCCATTGAACTGAATTTTATGGTTAAGTGTGAAGAACATGATATTTAATAAATAAAGGTAGCACACAAAACGTTAAAATAATGCCCCTTTAGGTGTAATGTAAAATATGAAAGCTTTCAGTTTTTTAATTTATTTTTTATTCTTATTTTTTAAAAATCGTTATCTTAGATTGCTGATAATTATGTATTTCTCCGTAGAGCTCTTTAGATTACACTGTAGATAGTGATGAAGAATGGGATGAAGGGGGACCTGGTGAAAGTCTATCAGGAACTGAAGTATGTTGGAATATAATTAATTTTACTTTTATAACTAAAATAATGAGGTGCTTATGTATTAACACAACCACCTTGGCGCAATGTAGTGATTTTTTACAGATGAAAAGTTACTTATTGTGTACAAGTTGGTGGTTTTCACACCTTTTTTAGAAAGATTCTCAAACTATCAATTTATTGTAAGTTGATATACATTATCAGAATATGAAACGAAAACAGCAATTTAAAATACAAATTTGAATTTTTAAATAAGGATTACATGATGCATTAAAAAAATAAAACAATTACATTCTTCTTCAAATTTTTCTGTAAAAGAAAATCAAAGAATTGCCAAGACTCAGCTTTTTTCAATCCTCGGCAGTAGCTATCTAGGAAATGCATTTCCTTGTTGTTCTCGTTAGAAAATTTTCAGCAAAATTCTGTATTCCTCCAGAAATTTTACAGTAGTTTCTTCCATTGGTGGCAAATTCCACTAGCTGATATTTTAAAACTAAGTTTAAGGCCAAAAATATCACTACTTGTATATAAAAACCGCTGGAGCTTGGAATAAAGAAACATATCTGAAAATGATGGCATTGCTTGACTGAAGGATTGTTATGAACATGGTTACTTGAAGATTGGTTACGTGCATAGTTGCCAGAGTTTGGCCCATTCTGAAAATTTGGCAATTTCTACTAAGGTGGTTGTGCTAATACATAAGTACCAATAATAATAATGAATACATATAAATAATAATAATGGCTATATAAATTGCCTGGATTCATTTGAATGGCACTGAAAGTTCCAGATAAGGAAGTTTTGTATTCTAATGAATTTTATTTTTTGTTCTTAACAGGAAGTTTGTATTTTGCCAAGTTATATCTACTAAATCGGAGATGCCCAACCTGTAGCTTACAGGTCACACATATCTCATGTGACTTTTTGATGTGGCTCACACTGCTCATCTTGTCCAGTCTCCGTTTTTTGAAATTAAGCGCTAAGAGTAGAAAGGAAAAGTCGTATTCCAATTATGCTACACACTCAAAGGCCCAATCGGCATGCTGTTTTACAGTAGACATATTGCTTTCAGACAGGGTTGCCATACTACCGGGAAAATCTGAGAAACTGGGAAACCAGGGAGAGGTCGGGGAATTTGAAAGTTAAATCTTTTAAACTTTTTTTTTCTTTTTAATAAATACCTTGTTTGTCATTTTGCAGCTAAAAAAAAGTAATCAGTCATCTAGGCTAACCATTTAATATAACTATATTTGCCAAAACATCATTGATTATTGTAATTCAATTTTTAATCTTTAAGTAATTTATTTTAATATTATTCATATTATTTAATGTGGCTTCTTCCTTCTAAATTTATTTAGTATTAGTTAATTTTACTTTCAAATTTAAAGCAGTTTTCTCTGGCATACTCCTGAAACTAATTCTAGCAGTATGTTGACATACCATAACAAAATTTAAAGCACATATTTTTTGCGTATGTATGGTGCTAAATAAATATAAAATACCTGAAATTTTTTAAAAATATCATTAAATAGATTTCTATTTTTCGTTTAACTGCAAAATATCTGCAAAAAATGACATATTTTAATCCAGATTGGGCAGATGCTAATCTCAATCTTCAGTGGAGAAATCAATTCTTATTATGGTTATGATAGAAATGCTTTTGGGATTATTTATATATATATATATAAATCATATGTAATTTGCAAATTTTTGTGTTTTCAAGTGGTAGCATAATTAATTTACCTCTTAGCATAGCCAATGCACATAATGCAGATAGACTGGAATTTTCTTAAAACACACCTAGAAAACTTGGAAAAGTCAGAGAATTTCATTCTCCTGTTTGAGTGGCAACCCTGTTTCAATGTTATGTCATCAATGGAATTGCTATGAGTGTCTTCAGATTGAACTGAGTGGTATATTTTCATAGGTTGATCCTTATAAGTACCTTTGCCACATAATGACTAGTTATTTTATAGGACCTCTGTCAGTTCCTCTCCGTAGCCTGCATAAAACACATGCCAGCGAAGTTATCATATGAGTTGGAAAAAAAAATAGGAACATACTTACAATTATAATTTTAACGGCGTGAATGGGAAGAGAAATGTTTTTTCATTAATTTTATGAACAAATATATTTGTTTGATTTGTGGTTCAACAGTTTCTGTTGGAAAAAGAAAACATAGGTCTCTATTTTACATCAGTTCATGAAAAGTATACTGAATATCCTTTTAACCCTTTGCGGCACAGTGTGTCCGGTCTGGACACACCTAAAATTTTCCTTCTGTACGCACAGAAAAATTGAATGAAAGGATTTACAGGTTACTCTGAACCTTCTTTATTTATATTAGATGGCAGCTCAACACAAACCAGTCCATATATTTTAGCCATGTTTAGTTTTTTAAGACCATCATTTTTCAAAGAAATCTTCCAGATTTTTTTTTAGGGTATAAAAGAAATTGTTTGAAAAGAAATTTCTATGTTATTTTTTGGCTGTATGCTAATCTCTTTATTCTATATTAGTTTTAAGTTTTTACTTTGCAATCTTGCTTAAAATCAAACGGTGAACCCTAGGTGTGCCTAGACCGTGCTCACCGACAGGACAACTGAAAGTCTGTATTCTTTGTTCCTCCACATCTCATCGGTCAGTTCATTGACAACAATGCTCGTTTCAGCACTCTTTTCGAAGCTCTATTCAATCAATGTGCCACTTTGGGTACACCCACAGAATTAAAACGATAAGTGCTATCTTTACAAAATTTTACTTGTGTACTCCTCTAGGCCTAATTAGACTGCCTACCTTTTTCTTTTTTTTAAATCAAAACTCCAACTTTAAAAGGTAGCGTGCCGGAAAGGGTTAGTAGCAGTTTAAGAAAATGTAAAGTAAAAAAAACTTAAAAGCCCAACAGTCAGTTTTTATTAAGTCTGCAGATAAACAGAAGGTTGATATGCATGCATCATTTAAATGTTCCATATATATTTGCAGTTCACAAAAATCCTCTGAGGATAGCAACAAATTAAAGAAGCAATACTTGCTACATAGGATGTTTTCGAGCCGTTCATTGGACCTTTATTTCAAGAAGCTAAAAATAAGAATGAAATTATGTTGGCTGTCGAAGTTGTCCTGTTATCTAGAAATTTCGTAAATCATTCCATAAGACCATAGAATAGAAGCTATGTCTAAAAGTGTCAAAGGACATGTAAAAGAGGATTTACAAAAATACATTTTCTTAAGTTTACAGTTTGAAAAATCAACACATATCTGCACACATAGTTCAAATAAATACTTTATATGGAAGATCTTTAAGGATTTCTCAGTGAACAAATATATATGCTGTCAGTTTTAACAAAAACAAAAAAAAAAAAAAAAAAAAAAAAAAAAAAAGCAATACACCCAGAATGGACATATACCAAACTTAAAAAAGTCATGTAACCAAAATTAATCACCCGTTTCAAAAACTTGCATCCATAGCAAGAAATGGCATGCCTGCTATGATAGGTTCTACAGTTGGTTTAATCTCATTATGTAAGAATGATACTGACTTTCCTAACCTTTTTAATTACTAATGCATCATGTACAAAAGTTTTACATTGTAAACATGTGGTAAAGGTGCTCTAAACATTGTAAATTTTATTCATGCCAGAACACTTCAGAGTAAATTATTCAAATTACCGACTGATAAACTTGATGCTGAGTATGAAACTTTAATGCTATGTTCCAATATTAGATGGCTTAGTAAGGGGGGAAATCCTACAATGATTTTTAGAGCATCTCTGAGCACTTTTGAGAATCTAGAAATGAAACTCATAAAGAACTTTGGTATCATAGTTGGTTATTTGATTTAGTCTTTCTTACGGACATAAAAACTAAAATGAATAAGCTAAATCTCGAATTTCAGGTCAAAGAAATGATTATTATTGAGTTAGTAAAAAGTTAAACACATTTAAATGAAAATTAAATTTTGGAAATCCCAAATAAAGGAATGTAACTTTTGCCACCTAATAGATTTGTTGAACAAATCAAGAAATATATATATATATTAAAAAAAGGAAGCAATTTAGTATTTTGAAAATCTCATCTATCTCAAAAATAATTTCAAAATTTGATTTCATGATTTTCAAAAAATTCAGCCAATTGTTTCATTCATTTCAAATCTATTTGTTAATATTAATACCTCCAAAATATTGAAACAGATTGCAAATAAGTTATCTAAAAAAAGTCTACTGATTTAGAAATGAAAATAATTGACTCCATTTCTACTATCAATGGCAAAAACACTACTTGGTAATGCATTTGTATTAACTATGTGTGGTCTGGAGCACTGTTGGTTAATAAGAGAATGTTTAAAATTGCATAAACTCTAGGTTATCTTCATTTTTGGAATAAAAAAATTTTTGGTCAGTTTTCTAAATATTCATGCTGTGAACCAAGCCTCTTTACTAGTCTTCTAAAGTTTAGCATGTCTTCACCTTTCAGAGCTGATAGGTTCAATGATTTATAAAGGAACAAGGTTTCCTGTATGCATGAAACTGGCTAATTTTTGTCATTTATTTCAGGTGTCTTTTGACCATGGATTGCAGATTAGCAAGGGATTGCTATATATCTATAATTTTTCTCTCAGACAAATTAGTTCCATAAAACTAAACTAGTTTTCCTTAAAACTAAATGGTAATTGAATAGAAAACTGAATTTGATTGATAAGCATTTGACATTTCTTCAGAACTGCTTAACTATGTTGTTAATTTTTAAAAATTGTTATTTTGTAAAATTAAGAGTTGCACAAAGAAACTCCCTTTTTTTGTTTGTTTTTTTCCTTTTGAAATTTATATTTGTTTATTTCTTTTAACAGGCAGAAGATGAAAGTGAAGATGATTATGAAGTAGATAATGATTTTTTTGTTCCTCATGGATACTTGTCTGCTGAAGAAGAAAAAGAGGAAGATGAGGAGGTAAAAGAAATGAATTTTTTTAACGGAAAAAATATTTTCTTTGTGGGGTTGGTCAAGCATTTTATGAATTGCCATAAAGTGATATAATTTATTAGTATATGTGATGATTATGTTTGATGCATTACTACTGCCCTCTATAGATAGTGCACGATATGAGGTCTTTGTATACATACTTAATTGTGGTTGTAGTGATAACATTTGTGTATTGTTCAGTAGTTATGGTGAACTGCTGCATTATGCCAGAAATTTGGAGACAAAGTAGCTATTGAAGAAAATTGGCAATAAAAACACTGTATTGTATCATGATGGGTATTTTATCATGATGGAATCTTATGAAGAATATATAAGCAACAGTACAGCATTTAAATGATATAAAAGTTTCATGGAAAATATAGGTTCATTCAAATCACAGTGGAGAAATTTATTTGTTTGAATGGACTAGAACTAGGCACTTGACACTAATATCCATCCTGAAATAAATGAAAGAATGACATTATCAAAGGATGGTGAAAATTACTGGATAAGAAACTAGTCTATGAAAGCTGTATCTTTTTAAGTGTTATTTAGAGAGCTAAAATGAAGTAGTAGCAACAGGACATATCTAGAGTGTAAGCTGAACAGTTGCAGTTTGGTGCGTTTAAGTGCATATAATACAGGGTTCGTACAGTCCTTAAAGTTCCTTAGGTTTTTTTGAATTGTTTTTTTGTCCTTAATTTTAATCATTTGAAATATCTGTTTTTACATCTGCTATTTTGAGTATGAATTAGGGTTTTGGAGATATATTTTTGGCGATACACTGACAAAAAAAAAGTTATCTTCGGAATAGGTTCAAGGGTTACAATTTGTTCCTGAGGGTATGAATTCTTTTATTAAATGGTTTTAAATTTGGCGACTTATCAACATTTTAGCGATTTTAAGACCAATTTATAGAGAAAATTTTTAATTCAGAGTTCTGGGAATTTTTCTCAATTAAAAAAATGATAAAATTATTATATTTAAGAAATATCATTAAAATAAAATATTTTTATTTTTCGCTGTCCTGTTATAGTGACATTACTTTCCATTTTAGCAACTTATGTAACATATAACAATAGGGGCGCTTCCTTCTTATGAAAAGAAGGAAAAGAGTTTAGGCAAAATTGCCCATTACTCTTCCGCCATTTGATCATTTAAATCAAGGGATTTAAATGGTAACTCCCGTAAAAGGTAAGTAATAAATAAATAGATAAGATCTCAAACTGACACCAAATCTATAGTATCAGCAAAAGATCCCATCTCTAAGTTCAAAGGTGTCGGCTGGATCGTGAGAACTTCCCTATTGGATGGAAAACCGATTCAATCCCTCCCAAACCACCAAACGCAAATTCTTGACCAAACAAGAGTGCGATGGAGAGTCAAATAAATATAAATAAATAAATAAGGAGGGCAGAGGTGCATTCTCAAGCCAAATGGCCAGGTAGTGTATAAAGATTTGATATCTGTTTTCAAATTATATTCCAAAACACAGCTATGAGAGGGAAATCCCTGCATAGTTTCTTTTCAAAAAAAAAAAAAAAAAACTCATAGGGCGTCTCAATACTTGTTTCTTGTGGTTTCAAATTCACCTTACCTGTAGGTGTTTAGTATACATCAGAAACCCTATTATGCCAGAGAGCCCTTTGTATAAAAGGGCTTGATCAAAGGTAATATAGGGAAACCCAAGGAATTTGTTTCTAGGGACAGAAAACACTGGACATCGTCCCAGAAAGTGAAAAGGTGTTTCCTCTCTCTTCTCCACAAGCTGGGAGAGAGGAGATTCGACAAGACCACATTTGTGGAGATGCTTAGCTAGATAAGCATGTCCCAGTAACAATTTGAATTACCTGGCATAAGTTAGTTCTACTGAGGTGTATGAGTTTACCCTGAAAAGTTTTAAGTGTACTGAGCACCAATTTAGAATGAGCACAGTCTGGGAGTTTAGACCATATATCATCATGTTTGTTCTTTTTTTCCAGCTTCTTACTTCTTTTTTTTTAAAAAAAACCGTTTGATATGAAAACTGGGTAAAATGGTTCTGGGCCAGACATGGTTAGTTGCAAAGCATCTTTAGCTACTTTATCAGCTAGTTCATTTCCAGCAAAATCACAATGACCTGGGACCCAGACTAAACTAATGGTATTATGGGCCTGAGCCAGAGAATTGAGATCTTGAGTACAGTTCAAAACACAGTTTTGTAACTTGACATGATTAGCCAGGGCAAGGATGGCTGATTGGCTGTCAGAGAGAATATATATATACTTATCAACTGTATTTTTAGCTAAGAGCTCCCTGGCGACCATATTGATCGCCAGAACCTTGGCTTGGAAAATAGTTGTTAATTTACCAAGGTATAGATGAAATTTAATGAAATCTTCTTCAGATCCCTTGGTTCTTATAATAGCTCCAGCTCCAGTAAAGTTGGATTTTGATCCATCTGTGTAACATTCAATTGATCCTGTTGGAATTAGGTCAATTAGAGATTCTATCTCATTCCTTTTTGGTATATGAGTTGAGAATAGTTTATCTGGAACTATTGTTTTAGTAATTGCATCTTTGGGCATATAGATTATAGGGATCTCATTGCCCAAGTCCAAACATATGTCAATGTGGCTTTTCAGGTGGCTTTTATGACCAAAACCTGTCCTTTGGCACCATGTGCCATTTTTATTCAATTTATACATGGCTTTAATTGCTCCTCCGCTCAAGAATAATTTCAAGGGTGGAATTTGCAGTAAAAATTCTAATGCAGCAGTAGGGGTACTATTTAAAGTCCCACTAATGCTTAGGCAAGCAAGTCTTTGCACCTTTTGTAAAATGTTTAAATACGTGCTTTTGTTAATAACATTAATCCAGACCACGCATCCGTAAGAAAGCATTGGCCGGACTATGGCAGTATAAATCCTTAGAGTAGATTTTGGGTTAAGGCCCCATTGTTTACCAACGATTCGCCTACAAAGTACTAGAACATTTGTGGCTGTTTGTGCCTTTTCTTTTATATGGGTGATCCATGTAAGTTTACTATCCAGGTAACATCCTAGGTATTTAACACATTCCTTACGCCTAATAATCTGGTAACCCAGATATAAATCTGCCAGTTTCCATTTCCTTCTCCACGTGAAAACTATGACCTCAGATTTTTTCAGCAGAGAAAGAAAGGCCATTTGTATCACCCCAATGTGAAACTTTATTTAAGATTTTATGTAGGGTTCCGATATCGAAACCCTGTAATAACACAATAAGGTCATCTGCATAAGCCTGTGACATGCCAGGTTCCTCCCGTAGAAGTACTAAGAGTGAGTCGAATACCAGGTTCCACGGGAACGGAGAAAGAATACCACCCTGCGGACACCCTTTAGTAATATCTCTCTTTACTTCATAGTCAGCGAGACTAACACAGATATTCCTATTTTTAATCATGAAGATGACCCATCTAGTTATCATAGGGTGAATATGACTTCCAGTAAGGGCCTTATGTATTTTCTCGAAACCAATGTTATCAAAGGCTCCTACAATATCCAGTAGAATCCCAATGGCAAAGTGTCCATCTATAATTGTTTTTTCTATTCTCCACACGAGTTGCTGTAAGGCCGACTCAGTGGAGAAGCCAGGCCTAAAACCGTGTTGGTCTAAGCCAAAGGTATGGTTCAGATTATTATCTGACTGGAGGTGCCAGAAAATCAATCGCTCCAACAGCTTAAGCTGGAAGGATGTTAGCGTGATCATTCTAAAAGAGTTCGATTTCTCATATGTATCTTTTCCTGGTTTAGGAAGAAACACACCTTGTGAAGTTTTCTCCAAACCTTAGGAACATATCCTAAAATCAAACTGGACTCGAATATGTCCACAAGATGTGACCAAAAATATCCCAGCCTTTCTGAAGCAGAATTGGGTAAATGCCATCGTTTCCCTGGAGATTTAAAGGGAAGAAATACATCAAGGGCCGCTTTAGCCTTTTCAAAATTCACAATTGTCTTAGCAAAAATCCAGATCTAATGGATTATGAAGTAGTTCCAATGGATTTTCCTGGGGGTCAGAGGTGACACTTTTGTCCCCCCCAGATGAAAATTCAACATGGTCGAAAGTGTATCCAAAGGGTTTATAGTATAACTGCCATCAGGTCGCATAACCGATGAGAGTTGAGACTCCTGAGATCTTTTAAGAATCTTATATACTCTGGCAGTCTCATGGTAGGACAGAATATCTGTGCAGAACGATCTCCATGAGTTGTATTTAGTTTTCCTGATTTCACTTTTAAATTTCCTTTGTAGAATTTTGAAGTTAGACCAGTTAACTTCAGATTTATTTCTGACTGCTTTCTTGTGAGCTCTCCGGACCTCTAGGCGGAGGCTTTCAAGCTCCTTGGTCCACCAAACTCTCTTGCTAGGAGAGTACTTCCTTCGTTTGAAAGGGCATGATGCATGATAAGATTCAATAATGATATTTGTCAAATTGTTTGCTTGAGTATCAAGCTCCTCGACTGTAGCAACTTATGTAAGTTTGAATCTGAAAAATAAACTAGGTAATAAATGTTATAAAGCCCAATTTATGAAACAATTCTGAGCTAAATTGTGAGTAAAAGCAATGGAACAATAAAAAATATATTAAATTAAAAATGTCTTCTTTTTAATTTTTCATGGTAAGAGTTTTTTCCCTGTAATTGTCTCAAAATATCAGAAATCTCATAATATGAATCGGTTTTCTCTCTGTAAAATTTATTTTATATGTTTTCCCTCTGTTTTTTTTTTTTTTTTTTTTTTTTTTTTTTTTTTTTTTTTTTTTTTTTAATTGTAAGTGTGTCTGTACTTTTTTTTATTTTTTTTTTTTTTTTTTTTTTTTTTTTTTTTTTAATTTTGTTTTTTTTTTTTTTTTTTTTTTTTTTTTTTTTTTTTTTTTTTTTTTGTCTTTTTTTTTCTTTTTTTTTCTTTTTTTTTTTTTTTTTTCTTTTTCGCCATTTTTTTTTTAAAATTTTTTTTTTTTTTTTT